TTTTTTTTGAGACAGAGTCTCACTTTGTCACCCTGAGTAGTGTGCTGTGGATTCATAGCTCACAACAACTTCCAACTCTTGGGCTCAAGAGATTCTCTTGTCTCCGCCTCCCAAGTGGCCGGGACTATAGGCACCTGCCACAACATCTGGCTATTTTTAGAGACGGGATCTTGCTCTTGCTCAAGCTAGTCTCAAACTTGTGAGCTCAAGCCATCCACTGGCCTTGGCCTCCCAGAATACTAGGATTACAGGTGTGAGCCACCTCGCCCAAGTTAAATCCTTACCCGTCAATGACTCCCATCATGCCTTGTAAGAGAGTTAATTCTGCCTTTTAAGAGAATTGCAAAATTTTTCTCCAAAGTAGAAGAAGATTCTTCAGGAAATGCCTTAGTAGACTGGGAGTAAAAGCTGGAGGCTGAATAGTACAGAATGGATAGGCAACAGTGAGTGAAGGAGTGAGAATTGAGAAAGATGCTATGTGATGGGCATGGGACCCGCAAAGAGGGAGGAGGAGTGAGGATGGTTTTAAGAGAGAAGGCACAGGAAAACCTGGGCAGGAGGTTAGGAGGCCTGAAGAAGAGAAAGGGTCAATGAGATATTCTAAGCAGCAGAAAGGACACAGCAATGTCTAATATGCAATTAGAATCCATTTGCTATGCTTTGATACAATGTAATGTCCCTTCCCTAACCCATAGTTGTCATGCATGGTGGTGGTTGTGGTGAATCAAAGGAAAAGAGCTTCTGTTCTCTATTTGGGATGGAGTGGGGCAAAGAGAAGAGACCAGGAGGGGGAGGTGTGAATGAGATGAGAAAAGACCAGTAGGGGGAGGGAGATGTGAATGAGATGATGAATACGGTGGACAGTGGATAGTTCTTGGAGTTATAGTAGACCAGGTGTAACAAAATCCTCTGGAGAATTTCCAGCCCTGTGTGTGTATAGTATATGCGTGTGTCTGTGTGTGTGTGGTTGCTCTGTGCATCTGTGGTGTGTTTACATCTGGGTGTGGGCATACATTCTCTACATGTCTATGTGGTGTGGGTTTTTATCCATGGTGGTATGTGTGTAGAGTTGTGTACACTTGTGTGAGTGTCTGTGCTCTGTGTATCTGTGGTATATTTGTGTGAATTTTTGTGTGTGGTGTCTGTGTGCCTGTGGACTTTGTATGTTCTTCTGTGGAATATGTGTATGTGTGGTGTTATGTAGATGTGTGTGTGGTCCCTATGAGTATATGTAAATGTGAAACTGGGTACCTGAATTTTAGGGAATATTTTTCTTTTAATTGTGTGGCTGAGTTCTAGAAGGACCCTTGATGGTAATGTAGAACTTGATCAAAGTCAAAGTAAAAACCTCCACTTGGAGACACAGAGGTGCTGTTTGGTGGGGAAGGCACAGACTTCTCAGGAAGCTGATCTGGAATAAGCCTAGAGAGTGGTTCAGATGATAGCACCAGAAAATGAATCTGCTAGCCCAGGGAATCTTACCTTGGAGCAGTATCTTCATGTCAGATGGCTTCCGGCCGGCCAAAATGAGTCAATGCCATCAAGCTTTTCTCTAGGAACAGAGGGTAAAATCAGTGACACTCTGCCTTCATTTCATTGCCTTTCTTCTTGCTGATGCTACTCTATGGGCTTGAACCCACCCTTTAAATATCCGGTGAGGTCTTTTGCTCTTCCTTTTTCTGTGGAAGGCACCGCTACAGATGTAGAAGGAGAGGGAGAGTACTTCCTCAAATCATTTCTCCATTTTGAAAGAAGATTTTAAAAAAACACTTAAGTCACTCCATGCAGGTATTAAAACATAGATTGAAATATTTGGTCATCCCACTAGCCTTCCACTCTGCCTCAATTCTAGGGTCTTCATTAGCATATGGAGGAATGGTATTGGGTGCACGAGGAGATGGTAGATACCAAGCAAGGGCAAAAAGAGAATCTGGAAATGAGCTACCTATTCTTGCTGAGAGAAAATGATTAGGGAAAAAACCCTTAAGCACTAACTATCACATTAAAATGGAGTGCATGAGGACAGGCCAAAAGTTTAGCTGTTATCTCATTTGGAAAGATGAAGACTGACAGGCAGAATGATCTGCATTTGTACAATCGTTGAGAATGGTTGGAAAAACAGAATTGGTTGCCACATCCTAAAATATGATCTCATTATGAGAAATCCTACCAGGCAGATAATGCATTTAAACCATTACCCCCCGAGTCCTACATTTCCTATTTTCTTCTAATTCATCTCTGAAACTTTTTTTTGGGTCTACCTCTGTGCTGACCTCAGTGCCCCAATTTCTTTCCTGCTTGCTTTCCTCTTCATCTCTTCATCACCAGAGGAGAAAATACATCACGACTGCTGTGTAGCTCCAGTGGTGAAGAGCCTGGGAATCAAAACCATTACCCAGTCTGTGTTAGGCTCAGAATTTTAAAGCTTTCACTGCTAGACTGTAGCCTCGCTAAAATTAGGCTTAAAATTGAGTTCTTAATTCATTTGTGGCTGTGATCTTCAACCTAAGAACTGATTTTTGCAGGTTAAGGATGAGTTTTCAAACTTGCCTCTGCATTTTAAAAGGGATTCATTGCCATTTTTTTCATATTTTTGGGTTAATTCACAGAACCAGAAGCAATCTGAGATATTATTTGGTCCAAACACATTAATTCTGAAGATTAGTAAACTGAGCCACAGAGAAGTTAAGTGAATTATAATAGGTTTTCACCAAGACAAAAGCCAAGGGCTGCTTCTTATGCTACCTCATAAGTAAAAAAGGGATTTGAAGCAGGTGCTTTCTCCTCTGTCACTCATTCTGTATTTCTTAATTCTGCAATCAGTCAAATTCATAAATGACAAATATAATAGATACTAGTACTTAACCCCCCTCTCTCCAAACATGCACTAGGGGTAATGCTACCATTAGGTAGCCTAAAATTTAGTTTTTCCCTAGCACTCTTGGAAGAGTTAATATTCTCATTCGTGACTACTTTCTTCCCACAGGTAATTAAACCAGTGGTATTAGCTGTTAAAGAACATACCAACTCTGTTTGAGGAAGCAACACTGCTTATGTGGCTTTGGTGAAATGGCTCTATTCAGTTAAGTCAGGTGGTTTCAAGAAGAGAACTTATGGAAATCGAAATTGTTTTATGTTGTTCTGATATAAGCACTGTATGAAATACACAGAAATGCTGAAGCAGATACTATTACTTAATCAAAAGCTGAAAAGACTAGGAACTCTTACCTGGATGGATTTAGAGAACATTCTTCTCAGTAAAGTATCTGAAGAATGGAAAAGCAAGCATCTCCTGTACTCAATACCAAATTGAAACTTAGCAGATGAACAAATACAGGTCAGAAAAACACAATTAAATTCAAGAAGTGGGGAAGAGGCAGAG